TCCCTTTTCTCCTTCCTGCTGCTATCAAATGATTGAGAACTGAGGACATCAAAACAGCTGAACTTTGGAGAGAAAACCCTCCTGGGCCCCTGAAGGTCTCAATATCTGCTCCTAATTCCAGCCCTAATAAGGTTTTGGGGGTGCTTGTAACCCACCCACCCCAATAGCCAGAACATGGGTGGGAGAAGACCCCTTCCTCCTCCTCCTTCAGGGCAGCATCTCCTCTTCTGCATCCAATCAGGGAAGAAGAAGAAGATGGTAGGGATGAAAGTCTTGCACAGCCTGGGATAATCTCTCCTTCTCGTAACTCCACCTTCTTTCCTTCTCTCTTTCAGTCCTTTCGTGGATCCTCCTGGAAGCAGGTAAGAGACCCTCATGCAGACTTTGCTTGTCTTCACAAAAATGTAGATTGTGATTGTTGTGGCCTCTGAAGGAGGGAGAAGGACCAATGAAACCAGAAGCCCAAAGACAGATTCAGAAGGAGAAAAGTCGGAAGAAGGCGGAGCCTCCTCGCTGACAGACCATAGATCGTATCTTTCTGCGGCTATGGTCCGTGCTCTCTCGTTGGAGAGCCCCGATCATTACGATTAGGGGCTGAAGCTGCCTTGGAGGGGCGGCGGAGTAAGGGGAAGCCACAAGCCAGGGTGAGGGGAGCCGCATTTCCACTCCTGGGCTTGGTCTTTTTCCCCCCGAAGACGACTGCAGCGGTGGTTTAAAATGGCCACCCCGAAGAGGAGGACTCAGCTGGATTAAGCTTTGTGCAGAAGGGAAGAAGGAGGTGGATAACATCTTAACCGGGACGATTGGGCGATGCAACTAAACAAAAGTACCCCGGTATTAAGGTAACATGCAATTTTTAAGAAAAGAAAAGTGAGCAGCAAAATTACAAAGGGACAAGAAAAAAAAATAAGAAAATATTTCTGACAGCTAACTGGGGCTTCGAACCGGGAAAGGAAGAAGCCGGAACTAAAGATTTAACTAAATTGGACTAAAATATTTTGGCAATAAACAGGCATAAAATAAAGCTGGACTTAAGATTGTCAAAAAATAATAATAATAAAGTTTACAATTCGGAGACTGGATTGTGTTGGAATATTGAGGTTCGAAAAACCCTAAATAAAAAAATAGGTGGGGGGAGGTGAAGACTTTGTATAATGGAGAGTGCCACCTTTTGACAAAAACTTGAGCTCAAACAAAAGGGAAAGCATCCTGTTTCTGAATGAACTTGTGTGGATATAACATTAAAGAAATATTGAAACAAAGTAAGAATCTTAGAAAGTGAAAGCAGAACCAGAATAAAGAAAAAAGCAAGGAAAGACTGACTGTGGGATTGATTGATGTTTTTGGTATAGACCCTGGGCTGGAACAATGGAGAACTTTAGAAAATTGAAAGAAGAAAGAAGGAAAGTAAAAGTGGTTTTTTTGTGGACTTTAACGATCATAAAATACAAGAGTGTGTAATGATGATATCTCTTCGGGAATTAAAAATGGAACTTAAAAATATGAGAGAATTACTACAGGAAAGAGGCGAATCACTTTGCTCTGTGTTAGAAAAAATGGAAATGGCGATTGAAGAACAAGAAGAAAGAGCTTCAGAGGAGGAGGAGTCGACTCAAGGAGAAGACATCTTAAATAGACAATTAACACAAAGAACGCTACAAAGAAGTGGGGAAAGAAGGAGGGCTAAAAAGTTGAGACTTAAGAAGGCAATCAAAAGGGGGAATACCTGTGAAGTTGGGAAAGACAGAAAGACCCAGTAGAAGAGGGGAAAGGAAGATATTAAGAAAGAGAGGGATATAAACTGGAATGAGAAAAGTTATGGGGAAAAGAGGGCGAGGAGAAGCAGTAGGAAACAGCTGCATGAAATAAAGAAATACGGAAATAGTAAAACGTTGAAAAAAATTGTTTTTTCTGAGATAATGGTTGATGAATTAAAAAGGGGATTCTGCAGGGTGACAAGGGGTAATAAGAATATTTCTGCAATTAAAAATATTTAGAAAATAGGGTAATATAGATACTGATAACTCTTATTAAAAATTAAGGGGGGGTGGAATATGCTGTGGAATCCAAATGAAACGATGTAATGATTATTATTGTAACTTCTTAAAAATGATGGTTTATTGGGAATCAAGATGAGGGAATAAAGGTATATTTTAATCATTGAGGTGTCACACTCAAAGCAGTAAAAGGGGGGAAACCTATACTTGTTTTTTTTCTTTAGTGTATTAATTTAGAATTTATAAAAAGAATGTGTAATGGAAAGGGAATATGACAGACTAAAGAACAAACTAAATTAATAAGTCATATAGACTATTAAAAGCAAGGAGAGACATTGGCAACCTATTATTTTTATTATTGTTGTTATTATTATTATTATTGTTATTATTATTGTTATTATTGTTATTATTATTGTTATTATTGTTATTGTCATTGTTGTTGTTATTATTATTGTTATTATTATTGTTATTATGCAAACACATATTGTTTATCTTTGTTTTTAAAATAAATATTAAAGGATTATATTTGAAATAATTGAAATGAAACAAAAAGATGTTTCGATTGAAAGAGGACAGAATTAATGTGTTTGTTTCTCTCCTTACTGAAAATTTGGAATGGAAAAGGTAATAATAGAATTAAGTATGCATATATGAATGTATAATTGCTGTCATATTTGTATGTAAAGGTGATGACCCGGAAATATGTTGTCCACTAAAAAGAGATTTTTGTTTTTATGTGAAAAACTGAATAAAATTTGTTTAAAAAAAAGAAGAAGAAGGAGAAGGAGAAAAGTCCATCTCTGTGTGTGCAGCTGCTCTGCTGTTCTTTTCCCCTTGAGTTAGTGCAATGGCCGAATCCAGTCCTGGTTGCTTCTTCAGGAGGCATCTGTGGATGGCCATGATCCACCCTGTTGAAGTACCTCCCTTCATGGAGAGACATCACTGGGTCTCCCTGAAGAGCCAATGCAAGATCATCTAATCTTTTGTTTGGTAAACTTTTTCTCCCCTTTTGTCAAACTGAAGAATTAGTGGCTGTTTTTACCAGATAACCCTGAAAATCCTTCTGTTCCTGTCCCTGGTGAGTCTAAGATGGACCCTTCTAGAAACTTCTTCTCCTCCCAATATAAAATGGAGAATGGTCTGCAAAACAAAGCTAGCAGAAAGGAAGATGGTTGTAAAAGACCAGGGAGGGTTGAAATCTTGTGTAAGAAGAAAAATCCACCTGGTTCCATTCTAAGCTGGGGGGAAAACGTTGGAAATAAAATGGAGGCTGATTAGAAAGAAGGATTCCGTTTATGGATGAGCCAAAGCAGCGTGTGGTTCTGGGGCAGCTGACAAAATAGCTTGAGGAGGGCAAGGATTTTCTTACACTTTCTGAGATGCTGCTGGGGGTTGTGCAGTGTCAGAAATGCCCCTGGGGGGTTGTGCAATGTAGTGAACTCTATGACTTTTGTTTTTCTAATCGTGTTGGGGTTAATCCTACTATGTCCTAAAGGTCATGTCCTGCTCTTCTTAATCCCATCACTCTGGAGCTGAAGATCTTTTGTTTATGAATAGATTGGTTGAGATATCTTAATGAGCACAAATTCTCCATCTCTAAAGACTTCAGGCATCTGCTGGAGGCTGTTTTACTCTGCAGGAAGACTGGGTTGCCTTTGAGAACATGTTTTTCTCCATTTCTCTTTTGAGGAAATATAATATTTAATATTCCCCCAAATATTTCATTCTCTAGAAGTGGGGGGGCTTCCCACACTTGGATGGATTTTATCCAAGCCATCAAGGGTAGGAGAACCTTTCATTCGCAGCATTAGTTCCTTTTTGTCCAACTTCTGGCCTGGTAAGAGGAAGCAATGGATCTGGGATCCTCAGAGCAGATTATGGATGGGATCCATCCTGGGAATCACAGAGGATGTTCTGGTGTAGAGATTTGGTTCCAGGAGGAGATCCAAAGGACAGACCTAATGGCTTCTCTTTCTCTCCTCAGGTTCACAGGCAGATTCATCTCTACCACCACCCAGGCTGTCCTCGCCTCTTCCACACAACTTTATTATTAAAGGAGAAGAGATTCCCTTGAATTGCTCCCTCCCCAAGGGGGTCGAATCAGGGAATGCCAAGGGATCTCGTAGAATAAGGTTCTATTTCTACTGTAGGGATCAATTCTATGAAATAATTGAAGATGAGCATCTCTCTAACAATACCTTCAACGTCAGGACTAAATATCTGAGCTCTGGCCAAATAAAGATAATATGTATATGCAAATTCAAGGAAGAACATCGGAGACACCCTTATTCTCCCGAAAGTAACCAGCTGGTCTTCTCAGTGGTTGGTAAGATGAAGATGTTATGTTCACCCTAAGCTACAGTAGGAAGTTAGCACCCACACCTCTCTTAGAAAAATGAAATATCATAGGAAATAATAAAAAGGCAGAATATTTCCCCTAAGAAGAGTAGTAACTCAGAAGTTGAAACTCACCCTCAGAAGCAGAAGCTCACCCCCACCTTTGTTAATGGGTGGGCCATTAAGGCCAGGGTCAGAATACTTTACATAACAAAGGTCTCCAGGTAAAGCTATAGCAATTGCTCAAAAGCCCTTTCAGTGCATCATCATCCAGCAAGGCTCAACCAAGCCTGGAACTCAGGACAGCCTACAGAGTTGCCCCTGCATGGCCCCATGGGAGTCTGACAACCAATCAGAATACAAGCTCCAATTCACATCCCAACAAAGGTTATAAGACCCAGGCACTCTCTGCACCTCAGCCCCTTTTCTTGATCTCTTCCTTCATCTTGAAGCATCCTTTTCATTATGGAGCTCCAGGTCCTGTTCACCATTAAACCTTCCAAACAGCCTCCATGTTTCCAGTGTCTTTTCCCCCACTTGGAACTCAACCTAGAAGGATTTTTCTTCCAACACTACAGTAAAATTCATTCCCCTTCCTTATTTTCCATTTTAACCTCCATTATCTGAAATATCACTGCTTTGCCTCATAGAAATGGTACCTTAGATTCAAGGAGACACTGTGGATGTTTTGAGTAAACTCCCCTACTTCAAAGTAGTCGTTAATATATCTCCCTTGTGCACATTTTGTGCAGATGTCCTCCCTTCCCCTCTGCTGAAAGTGGATCCGTTGTCCCAGAGGGTGAAGGAAGGTGACCCCTTGGTCTTCCTCTGCTCAATGGAAGGAGGAGACCGAGAGAAGAAGTTCCACTTCTACAAGGATGGGGTGGAGATCACCTCCAGTGAAGAAGATCTTCTTGAACCCTCCACTGAGCCCACAAACCCTCTTCAAAATGCCTCTCTGAGAATCCCTCATGCCTCGATCAACCACAGTGGGGAATTTTCTTGCAGTTATGAAGAGAAGAGAAGCAACCAATGGATCATGTCTCCTTTGAGCCAGGGGAAGAACGTCACAGTTGAGCCAGGTAGGAGGAGATTTGGATGTGGTTAAACCTTGAGATCACAATGAAAGGCTAAACTAGGAAGGGCAAAGAAAGTCCCGGAGAAAAGGAAGTGTCTTTTTGTGGGATTGATAACTAGCTCCACAGAGAGGTCCATGGAAAATCCAGAACATGAGCTTGATTTAAAAAAAAGGGGTGGGGGTCTGTTTCATTTATATTTTTAATAGTATCTAAACCATCAACAGTAGGCTTTGTAAAAATGTTCTGTCAAGAAATACTGAATCATTTTTCTTGTTTCTTACTCAAAATAGTTTCGACACAAGATTCAGGTATTTGGAGATATTCCCGGGCGGCCATTACTATGATAATCCTGCTGGTTCCATTTGCCTTGTATTGCTGGACAAAGAAATGCAGTAAGTGAAGTGGTTCAAAGGGCTCAACGGTTCCTTTATCTGGAGTCCCAGATGGCTCCTGGTGTGGTTGGACTTGTTGATAGAGAAATCCTCCAGGGAATCAAGAAAGGAGAGCCAGGCCTGGCTTTGAGAGAAATAGGCTGACAATACATGAGGAAGATGGAAAAAAAACCATTTCACGTTTCTCTTTATTTTTATTGCTGCCTTGGAAGAATCTCCATCCAAGAAACAATCTCAGCTTGCAGAAAAGAAAGAGGAAAGAGGTGACCTTGGAATGATGGAGCCTCCAGCAGCAACAGCAGCTACAGCCTCCCCTGCCAAGGTAGCTGGTGGGATTCATGGGTGACTTAAACCCTGTCCAGAGGAAAGGTCTCTCCACAATGGAGAGTGAAGTTATGTCCCTTAAATCCCCACTAATGACTTAACCTCTTCTGTGGAGACATCCAACTCTCTTTGTGGAGAGACAGGAGTGATGAAGATGGGCTCTAGAGTGCCTGAACCATGCTGTTGTCAGGATAGATAGCTGAATTTTAACATTTTCAAACAGTATTTACTTTCCATAAGTTCACATTCTCTTGATGTCTGTGAATATCTCCTTTTAGTTTCTTGATTTGTTAGATTTCAAGGAAAGAATGTAGGCATTGCAGGGCCCCTGGGGAAGAAAAATTCTTTTTATGACCTTCAGCTAACAAATATGTTGGCCATGAAATTAAATCATCTTGAATCCCACAGAAAAATACAAACAGAAAGATATATTTAAGACCACTAAGTATCTCAGAAGCCATTAAAGATTCTTCTAATATTGGGGGGAAATATTTTGGGCAATGTTCCTGGGGGTTTCTCAAGAGCATCTCAACACCATCAGCAATCTGAGACCAGAAACTAGACTGGGTCAGGTCTGATGTCAAAGGTCAGTCCTTCCCTGTTTTGATGGGCTGGCAATATTTCTAGGCTGTAGCTGACCTATCAAGCTTGTTTATTTCTGAGAATGCCATAAAATGGTGGAGAGATACCATGTTCTCAACGGCTTCCTCATCTGCCGGCAGACTGAGCAATGTCTTCTCTTTCCCTCACTTTCCCCAGGACTCTGAGGCCACCTACAGCAACATCCAGGACTCCTTCACTCCGTCTTCTCCTGGGCCAACAAGGGAAAACCGTCTTACTCAAGAGAAAACAGGGAAGACATTGTACTGTAATCTTGGGTCTCAACTCAAAAAGTAGGAGCAGAATCACCCCTGATTGCAGCAAAATGTGTCTTTCTTGGTCCAGCCTCTTATTCGGCCTAAACATGGATCTCACCCTTGAGGAGATGATGAGGTGCAGCTGAGCTTCAACTTACGGCAGAAGAAAAAAACCCATCAAATAGGGGGAAATCCTGGGCATAATCTTATTCTAGGAGTCTTTCAGGGAATTGTGCAGCCGGTGTACAAATAGAGTCAGAGACACTGACACAAATTTGTTGTTTTATGTAAATAAATATATTTTACAATTACAGGTAGTACTTGACTTACAACAGGTTGTTTAAGTGACTGTTTTAAGTAACAACAGCACTGAAAAAAGTGATTCATGACTGTTTTTCATGCTTATGACCGTTAGTCATTTCCATGGTCACCTGATCAAAATTCATATGCTTGGCAACTGACTCATACTTATGACCGCCTCAGTGTCCTAAGGTCACGTGATCCTCTCTTGCAACCTTCCGACAAGCAAAGTGAATGGGGAAGTCAGATTCACTTAACAATCCTGTCACTAAATTAAGAATGGAAGCTATTCTCTTAACAAATGCGGCAAGAAAGGTCATAAAACAGGGCAAAATTCCCCTAATAAATGTCTCACTTAGCAACAGAAATTTTGGGCTCTGTTGTGGTCGAAAGTTGAGGACTCCCTGAATATATACAGCAAAAAAGTTAGTCAAGCTAAACAGGAGCATCGTGAGGTAAATCACAGAGCTGACAAGGCACACAGAAGAAAAAGGTGGGAAAAATGGGAATCTCCCCCTCCACATCCACAGGGACCAATCACACCACAGATTGCCTCATGTAGGAGCCAGCACTCTCCAATCAATCAACTATATGGTGTGTTCTGGATCACTGCACAACCCAACTGCACCAGCTACAAAATTTAATTATCTTAACAGAGTCTCACTTCTAACTTGGTGTAGAATTGAGCCTGCTTGGAAGATTTCCGTTACAATTTCTTCTCTTCATAACATACATTCTTTTATCTTCTTCATAATTTGTATTTTAATCTATAGGGAAAATCTAACCTTTCTTCTATAGCAATAGCACTTAGACTTATATGCCGCTTCACAGTGCTTTACAGCCTTCTCTAAGCGGTTTACAGAGTCAGCCTCTTGCCCCCAATAATCTGGCTCCTCATTTTACCCATCTTATTTATTTTATTTATTTATTTATTTATTTGATTTGCCAATTCTTTACAAGATAATAAGTATAAGTGTATACATAGTTGTGAATACATGAAATGGGTACATATAAGAAAAATAAAAGAAGAATAAGAGAAACAATAGGACAGGGACGGTAGGCACGTTGGTGCGCTTATGCACGCCCCCTACAGACCTCTTAGGAAAGGGGTGAGGTCAATAGTAGACAGTCTAATAGTAGACAGTCTTGGAAGGATGGAAGGCTAAGTCAACCTGGAGCCTGGTGGGATTTGAACTGCCAAATTGCAGGGAGCCGATTATGAGCAGAAGTGGCCTGCAGTACAGCACTCTAACCACTGCGGCCATCGAGGCTCTTATGGTCCAATGGATCTTGGTTGATTGATTTGTCCAGATTTTGACTGCTGAGGTCTTTCAGTTCCATCCTTGTTTCAGCCAAAAACCCCTAACAGAAG